AATGCATGGAAAGAAATCTTTAATAAGAATTATTATTATTATTATTATTATTATTATTATTATTGAAGGTGGGAAATGGGGATAAGAGGGGGAATAAGGATTGTGAGGGTTCAGTGGTAGAACACACACTTTGCAGTTCCACCAGCCTCAAAGTTCCAGTTTAAAACCCTGGCACCTTCAGGCTAGGCTGTGAGAGAGACCCCAGACTAAAATGCTGGAGACCCATTGTCAGTCAGTGTAGGCCATACCGAACTAGGTCACTGAGCTTCAGTAGGTGGGTTGTGGACACCCTATTGTAGTGTTTCTCACTACAAGCTGTTGTTGGACTACAACTCCCATCATCCCTAGCTAGCAGGACCAGTGGTCGGGGATGATGGGAGTTGTAGTCCAACAACGGCTGGGGACTCAGGTTTGAGAAACACTGTGGTCATAGTTGAATTCTAAGGTGGGTTGTTGCAGCAGCACATTTCCACCATATAAATATATGGTCAAACAAACAAACAAACAAACAAACAAACAAACAAACAAACAAGAAAGCTGCCCCTCAGTGCATGTTTGGGTTAAAGGGCATCGCTGAAGACTGCTCAGCTAGGTGGGTTCATTGTAAGTAGAAGGCAGATTCCTATATTCCTGTATGGCCTTCCGTGCATATGTGACATGAGGAATGTCTACTTCCCAACAGTTACTTATTTTCTTGGTGGAGAAGAGTATCTGCACACAGCTGCAAAGTGGGACATGAGCATAGTGAGTCATTGACCCTCACCAGAGCAAGTGAATGAATCCCGGAAGCTTCCTGCACTGTTGGTTGTGCAATAGACCTGAAGGATGGAAAGTGGCTTCCGCAAAAGCCAAAGCAGAGATGACAGGGTTATGAAACTAGTTGGAAGAGCAAGCTTCATCCCTGAGCCAGCTGGTTGCAGGTGTGGGTCTGTCGAATTGGCATGCCTCTCCATGGGAGTGCCCAACACTGTACTGTTGGAGGGTTGCCAAAGCTTAATGTTGCTGTTGGTGTATGTACGTTTTGTATGTGTGTGTTTGTGCAGCGCTTTTTGTGATGGTGCTCTCAGTTATGGAGTACTGTGACCTTTTTTTACTACCTGTGGCAGACATTTTGTGCTGGCACCCAAGGCACATTTATCAAGATCCGAATACCTGGTATGTGTGTGTGTGTGTATATGTGTTGTTGTTGTTGTTGTTGTTGTTGTTGTTGTTGTTGTTGTACCCCCGCCCATCTGGCTGGGTTTCCCCAGCCACTCTGGGTGGCTTCCAGCACATTAAAAATGGTAAAACATTAGACATTAAAAAATTTCCCAATACAGATGTTTTCGAAAAGCTCACTCAACCACTTTGATCTGCAGAAGTGTCACTTGTACAGGTACCACATAACGCTCATTCCCAGTGCTATTTTTCTAGAAAAAGAGGTGCTGGAATTCACCATGAACACCTCCCTTGTTCGGAAGTTGCACCCACCTGGGAGGTGCCGGAACTGAGTTCTGGTGAGTTCCACCTAGGAAAAAAGGCTTGCTCACTCCACATTTGTAAGACGTTGATATTTTAGTGTGGTAGCACCCACACTTTGAAACTCCCTGCCTATTGACATCAGGCAGGTGCCTTTCCCTTCATTATTTTTTAAGCCTGTTAAAACAGATTTCTGCTTAGACAACGCTACCCAGATGGGTGGAATGTCAACATGCAATGTAAACTTATAATTGACTTTAATTATTTTTGAATGCTTTGATTTTTTGTAAACTGCTTTGAGGTTTTATTACAATTAAGTGGTATATAAGTATTGGGAAATAAATTCTCTCTCTCTCTCTCTCGCTATATAAATAATTTATTTCCCAATACTTTCACACACACACACAAACACACACACAAACACACAGTATAATGCATTTATGTTTTTAAATACAGTGGTGCCCCGCAAGACGAATGCCTCGCATGACGAAAAACTCGCTAGATGAAAGGGTTTTCCGTTTTTTGAGTCGTTCCGCAAGATGAATTTCCCTATGGGCTTGCTTCGCAAGACGAAACGTCTTGCGAGTTCTTGCGAGTTTGTTTCCTTTTTCTTAAAGCCGCTAAGCCGCTAATAGCCGCTAAGCCTCTAAGCCGTTAATAGCCGCTAAGCCATTAATAGCTGCTAAGCCGCTAATAGCCGCTAAGCATCTAAGCTGTTAATAGCCGCTAAGCCGCTAAGCTGCTAATAGCCGCTAAGCCGCTAATAGCCGTGCTTCGCAAGACGAAAAAACCGCAAGACGAAGAGACTCGCGGAACGGATTAATTTCGTCTTGCGAGGCACCACTGTACATTGTAAACCACTTAGACACCTTTGGGCAACAAGTGACTACCAAGCATAGCTATCAACTTCCCCCCCTTTTTAAGGGAAATTCCCTTGTTCCGAATACGATTCCTTGCAAGCAAAGGGAAAAGTTGACAGCTATGCTACCAAGTCAAATAAATAGTGTTCTGGGTTTGCGGGGGACAAGGATCCGTTTAAATTCCTGGGTGCGAGTTTCTGCCCATATTTTCTGAAATTAGTAAATATGGGGTTTGAAGTCAAGCCAGCTTCCTCAGGAGCAAGGCTTCTCTGGCTTGACTTCCTTAGAGGGGAGATAGCAGAGTCATTATCCTGCCAAAAGGTGAGGCATTCAGCATCAGACAAGAAAGGGGGAGGCTGCCAGGATTAGTACAGGGGGCAAGATGTCACCACAGTAAAAAAAAGAAAAGTAAAGTGCTTTTTGCAGGAGGCTTTTTAAATGAGGTTGCGAGGGATGCTGGAAGCGGAAGGGGAAGAGTTGTTTTCTGCAAAGGCTGTTGGGAAGAAGCAGCAGCCGGAAGTGGGCAAAACGCCATGCATGCTGCCTGGGAGAGGCTGTTCTGAGAGGCTGGGGGCCGTGACTGGCTGCTGTTTTGGACCCAAGCTTGTTGAAGCCACGAGAGGAGCAACAAGAGACACTCTTGGGGTGTCATGTTCTGTGCCCCCTCTGTGGAAGGCTTTAGGTGTCAATGTGTGTGAGCAAACCACGTTTCTAAGACACAGCAAACTCCACTGTGCCTTGATTTTGCAGTGGAAACACAACCCTGGGTGAGTGCCTGGAATCCCTGGAATCTTGCTTCCATTTGACAGAGATTAGGGGTGGCGTGTAGCGATAGCAGCAACAAAACACAGTTTGCCAATTTGCACAGAATGTGTGGAATAACCTCTTTCCAATTTCCCTCTTTATTTCCCCCTTCCCTGTTCCATACTTCAAGAAAAATCTGAGTAATTCCTGGGTGTTGTATTTGCAGAAACGGGAAATCATTCATTTTTTTGTCCCTACTTTCCATATGGCTGGGGCTCTGTTTGAAAGCAAAAGTACCCTGGTTGTCTGCTACCTCCTCCCATATACCATCTTAAGTCTTTCAGCAAAGCAGGTTAAGGTGTCTTGATAAACGGCAGCAGACTTTCTCTTCTTCCCTCTAATGCCTTTTAAACATCTGATGAAGTGTTCTGGGGAACTCAAATCTTGCACTCAACAGTTTCATAACATGATTGAGCTAATATGAATTGGAAATTTGTGTTTTTTTTTCTTGTAGGCCATCAATGGCCATCTCTAACCTACATAAATGTGTCAGTTCAAAATCTTCAGATCCTTTAATCTGTGGAATATCCACATGGAAGTACTGTATTTTTCGCCCCATAGGGCGCACCGGCCCATAGGACGCACCTAGTTTTTTGGGGGGGGAATAAAGAAAAAAATCCCCCCCCCCAAGTGCGGGGCTGGGGCGGGGGAAACCCAAGCTTCCCCCGACTCCAGCCCCCAGAACAGGCTGCTATCCGCTAGCCGTGGGAAGTCGTGCAGCTCTCCCACGGCTAGCGGAGAGCTGCACGAAGCCCGAAGCCTGGGGGTGGGGCGCTGAGCTCAGCGCACCCCCAGGCTTCGGGTGCAGGCACCTCTCCCCAAGCCATGGGAGAGCTGCGCGACTTTGCGCAGCCCTTCCACGGCTTGCAGAGAGCTGCGCTAAGCCCGAAGCCTGGGGGCGCTGAGCTCAGCGCGCCCCAGGCTTCGGGTGCAGGCACCTCTCCCCAAGCCGTGGGAAAGCTGTGCGCAGCTCTCCCACGGCTTGCGGATAGCTTCCTGAAGCCTGGAGAGCGAGAGGGGTCGGTGCGCACCGACCCCTCTCGCTTTCCAGGCTTCAGCAAAAGCCTGCATTCGCCCCATAGGACACACACACATTTCCCCTTCATTTTTGGAAGGGGAAAAGTGTGTCCTATAGGGCGAAAAATACCGTATTTAGCCACACGGACTGATGTACAGTTAAGGTTAGGGACCACAGTTCAAAGGGAAATGAATTGCAACCCAGTAGCTGAGCACATATGCTTGTATGCAGAAGGTTCAGCCCCTGGAATCTCTTTCCCAGCATAGCCTCTTGGGTTTTAAGATCAGCAGATAGAGCCCTCTTAAGAGCTGCGCCACTCTCAGAAATTTGGGGGTGGCCCAGGTGGAGCATCCTCTCTTGCAGCCCCTAAGTTGTGGAATTCCCTCTCCCGGCTTCATTGTATAGTTTTTGTCATATGCTGAACATGCACTTCGTTACCCTGCACTTCGACACTTGAAATAGATCTTTTATAGGGCATATTCTAATCATGATTTTAAGTTGTTTTAATTCTTTTTTTATGTTGATCTAACCTGTGAAGAGACTCCTCTTCACCTCACAAAGGTATTAACTGTTAAACCATCATGAGAAATGTATCTCTGTGGGGGAATAGGGGTTCCCTAATATTCTCAGCACCCTTAACAAGCTACAGTTTCCAGGATCCTTTGTGGGGGAGGAAACCATGACTGCTTAAAATATATGATCCTGCTTTAAATGTATAGTACAGATGTGAGTGCTCTCTCTCTCTCTCTCAGGGGTCATTGTGAGGCTAAAAATGCCGTTCTGAGCTCCTTGGAGGGAGGGCGATAAATGAAAGTCTATAAATAATTCACTGTCCCCTCTTGCCCTTCTTTCTTTCCCAGGTGGCTAACCTGCCTCCTTCGTTTTTAGTGCTGAAGCCAGATTGCTTTAACTAAAGATGGAAACACTGGAGTCGGAACTGACTTGCCCAATTTGTTTGGAATTGTTTGAAGACCCCCTCCTTCTGCCGTGTGCTCATAGCCTCTGTTCCAGCTGTGCCCACCGCATCCTGGTCTCCAACTGCTCCGCCGGAGAGCCTCTTGAGCCCATCACCGCCTTCCAGTGCCCCACCTGCCGCTATGTCATCTCCCTCAACCATCGGGGCCTGGAGGGCCTCAAGCGCAATGTGACCTTGCAGAACATCATCGACCGCTTCCAGAAGGCCTCCCTGAGCGGGCCAAATTCCCCCAGCGAGAACTGTCGCGAGCGGCCATACCGCCACAGCCCAACCATGTCGGCGGGCGACAGGATAGCCTGCCAGTTCTGTGAGCAGGACCCTCCGCGCGACGCTGTCAAGACCTGCATCACCTGCGAGGTGTCCTACTGCGACCGCTGCCTGCGGGCCACGCACCCCAACAAGAAGCCGTTCACCAGCCACCGCTTGGTGGAGCCTGTGCCGGACGCCCACTTCCGTGGGCTGACTTGCCTTGAGCATGAGAACGAGAAGGTGAACATGTACTGTGTGGCTGATGACCAGCTCATCTGTGCCTTATGCAAACTGGTGGGGCGGCACCGGGATCACCAGGTGGCATCCCTGAGTGACCGGTTTGAGAAGCTCAAGGTAAGAAGGGGCGGGGTGGGTTTTGGGCACTGATTGAGGTGGCAGCAGCTGTGTGTGTTGTGTGGTTTGTGTCTGTTTTGCTCCTTCCTGCACGTTCATAAGTAAGGATTCATTGCAAAAACCACACGCCCCAAAGTGACATATGGAGAACGTGCTCTGAGCTGCTGTTTCACCGCAGTTGCATCCCTCACCCACTGTGTCATCTCTGAACTCACTTTTCAGTATCTTTTGCATCAAAACACTAGGAGGCTGTTGTAAACTGACTCAGGCTGTTTACTCAACTAGCTCAGTTGTATCCATTGACTGGCAGTGGCTGGCTGTCCAGGGTCTTGAACAAAGATCGTTTCCATCATCTGCTACTGGATGCTTCTGAAATGGGGATTCCCATAGTTCTGCCACAAAGCTATGGTCTCTTCCTATGAGCCGCACTCCCTCCACAACAGAAGAAGCATTCGAATTGGTTTTGTGGTGGAGCAATGAATACAACACAACCCCCCATTTTTCTTACCACACCAATCTGGTCGTGTGAATTGTCTTTAGTACTAGCCAGGTAACTGGAGGCAAGGTTTTCCTGTGTGAAATGAAGCAGACTGTTTCAACAGGTGTTGGCTTCCATAATTAGGTTGCAGTGGCAGACGTTGCCTGAAGCTGCAGGGCCTGGATGGAGGCAGGCAGGCAAGCAAGCGGGATGGATGCATGGTTTGTCAGGGGCTTGTTTAACTGAGATGAATCTGTACTATTTGTGGGTGTGGGAATCTTGGTTAGCACTGCATGTTGGCTGTGTGAAAGGCCTTATTAAAGGTTTGAGGTGGTATTCCCCTTTATGAGTTATACAGAACCATAAGACTAAGGGTTCTGAGCTTAGTCATCCCCCTCATGCTGATCTTCACACCCAGCCTTAAGCCCCTTTTTCTTTGTGAGATCAAACTGCAAAACACAAGAGTAAGCCTCCAGGCACTTAAAAGTCAGCGTGTAGTAGAGACTACAGGAGTGGGAAGCAGCAAAAATATTTGGATTTTAGAAAGGGTAGAAGTGGGGCCTGCAGTGGTGGAGCACAGCTGTTCAGAGTTCCACCAGACCAGCTATACCTTTCTCTAGGATTTTGCATTTCACTCCCCTCTCCCCCCAGTTTTCTGGTGTTTTTTCTGCCATCCAGCAGTTAGTCACCCATTTTGTGGGTGGTGAGACTTGGATTGGACTGGGGTTTTTTAAAGTGTGTGTGTGTTTTTGTACATCTGGAAACCTTAGTGTTCTCCACAGCCTGTAGCTACCCCCTTTTGTGTGTGGATAGATAAGGACCAGCACTTAGGGATATGAGTTCACTATGGGTATACAGCAGGTGTGAGTGTGAGGTATCTTTGGCCCTACAGGTGTTGCTGCACTACAACTCCCATCATTCCTGGCCATTGGCCATGCTTGCTAGGGTTGATGGGAGTTGCAGTCCAGTAACACCTGAAGAGTCACAGCTTCCTCACACTTGGTATATATGATGGTCTGCATGGGGAATGGTGGGTCAAGGTGCACCCAGTGTGATAATGAGCCAGGGGAGAGATAGAGCTGTAAAGGGATGTAAGCAAATGCCCAGGGTTCCTTTGTTGTTGGTTTTTTTGTTTGAGGAATTCTCCGCCCTGTCAAAACACTGGAATTTTAGTATTTTCAGTGCTGTTTATCCTGGTCCAGGATGAAGTGAGAGGAAGTGTCCCGCTATGGAATAAGTTTTGATAGGGTGTTGTGGTGGTCACAGCCAAAGATATATTATTATTATTATTATTATTATTATTATTATTATTATTATTATTACCCTGCCCATCTGGCTGGGTTTCCCCAGCCACTCTGGGCAGCTCCCAACAGAAAATTGAAATCATGACAAAACATCAAACATTAAAAACTTCCCTAAACAGGGCTGCCTTAAGATGTCTTCTAAAAGTTGTGTAGTTTTTTATCTCCTTGACATCTGATGGGAGGGTGGTACTGCCAAGAAGGCCCTCTGCCTGGTTCCCTGTAACCTCACTTCTCGCAGTGAGGGAACCACCAAAAAGGCCCTTAGCGCTGGACCTCAGTGTCTGGGCTGAACGATGGGGGAGGAGACACTCCTTCAGATATACTGGGCATTCTGTTGGTGTCTTTAAATCATGACATTAAAAGAAAATTCAGAAAGAAGGGGTTCCCATGGGCATCTGGTGGGCCACTGTGAGAAGAGGGATGATGGACTAGAAGAGCCATTGGACTGATCCAGTGGGACTCGTCTTGTGCTCATATCTCTCATTATCAAATACTGAGGGAAAAGAACTGGAGATGGCAGTTGCCATCTTGGCTTTGATTGCAAGCTTTCCTTGGTCCATTGTATCTGTATCCTGGTTTGAATTGCCCACAAGTTCCTTGCTGGCCAGGACTTTGATGTTACCACCAGAAGTTGTTGGGCTGAGACTCCCGTTAGCCCCAGTGAGCAGGCTGGATGACCAGGGATGTTGGGAGTTGTAGTCCTACGGCACCTGCAGGATCAGTTATTTTAAAAAAGCAGATAAAAGTAAAGGATGGAAAACAAAACTATAAAGTAGGCACATAGAATAAGTGCAGTAGTTGCATGTGTTTTAAAGTAACAAATTCCAATTAATAAAGAAGTGAGAATAAATGTTGTCTTCTCATAAAGAATATTAGAGTTATCTGGTTATCCAGTACAGAGAGGCAGAATTAACTGAGAAACTTCTGGTGCTTGTTGCGAGAACCTTATTTCTTCCTGGAGAGTATATATCCTTCTGTTATGGGGTGAGTGTGGGTGAGAAAGGATTCTGTTCTCCCTTCACTCAAGCCAAGATTGTCAGTGCATATTGATGAACTACCCTGAGCTTCTTGAGACAGAGGAATCAGGCATCTCTGTGTGCTTCCTGGGCCTCTATTGGAATCTTTTCATGCTTGACTTTTTACGCAGTTATGGAGGCTCTGCTGAATCTGACAGGAATCAGAATAATGTCTGGTTCTTGACCCATACGAAACGAGACATCTCTCTTTCTCTCTTATGCATTGCACCGGGGGTTGGATCTGCAAAATAATGCTAGGTTCGGAAAAATCTGGAAGCGCTCCCCGGCCATATCAGAGAAGGTGGTTTGATGGCCAGGTCTCTTGAGGAACCCAGGCTGTCCTATGACCTGAATTTTGTAAAAAAAAATTGGAAAGAACACATTATGGAGACAGAGAGTCTACTCTGTAGGAGTCTTTGGAGCCAAACTGTCCTGGAAGAAGCATTTGGTTCAGACCAACTTTACATTAATATGCTGGAGTTGCACCATGAGACGACCTAGTATTATTTCAGCTCCTTGGGAATGTTTGCAAGTCAGATTTAAGCTGCACAGCATAATAAGCATTTTAAGCCATCCGTGTCGAGGAAAGTTTATGTCTGATGCTTTCAAATTGTGAAGAGGTGGAGCTTTTCCAAACAGTTTCATGTTTTCAGGAAGCAGCTGGTTCACTGCTGACTGCATTACAGGATCCTTGTAGATTCCATTGGTTCAGTAATGTTTTTTGGTTTGCACCTGCTCATGGAGGGATCTACAATTCCCAGAGTTTAAGACACACCTCAGTTTAAAACAGTATTATTAAAACAACAGCATTATAAACAATAATTGGGGATGAGGCAGCCTCAAGTGCACTTTTAAACAAAACAATGTGAATCGTCTTTCTGAAGGCTGGAAGGGAATGAACTAAACAAAGCTTTCTGAAGGAGGAGTTTAGGATCTTATGCAGTACCATGGAGAAGACCTTGTTCCATGTTCTCATCAACTTCACTTTGGATGGTAGCAAGTCAGAGCCCAGAGTCTCCCAGAATAGCTTAACGGGCAGGAAGAATCAAACAATCTTTGTGCAGGCAGGAAGTAGACCGTGTGACGTAAGATGAGGCAGCTGCCTCACATGGTGGAGGTTACAATGGGAGATGAATTTGACTCACATGGGATGATTCACTGGGAAGGTCTCCTTTGCAAGTTCTCCACAGAGATAGAGAACTGAACCGGAGAGACAGTAATTTGGTTAAGGCAAGGACTGGTTTGGCGCACAATTGCATTGTGCAAGCATTTATTTTTTAAAAAATATAGAAAAGCTAAAACTAAAGTGAGACAAGTTTCTGGTTCTTAAGAAACTCATTGAGACTTGCAATCGTATGAGCAGATGATGTTGAATTCTCACTATGCCTAGCTGAAACTACCGTAATCACAGTGCCCTGCATTGTGCTCTCTCTCTCTCTCCATCTTTCTCTCTCCTTGCTAACCAGAGCTAAATAATTTGTGCAAAATATGTGAACACAATTAAATTTCAGGGCTGCAGTGTTTTGACTGATCAGTCAGTAAATTGGCTTAAAAGCCTTTGCTCAGCTTACAATGTGGTGACAATCTATATGCACTCATAATAACTATTTAGTACAGGTACTTCCAAAGAACAGCAGGTGCCAAGTACAATCTTTACAGAGTCATCCCTCCTTTTTTCTCATACAGGAGAGTGTGCTTCTTCTAAGATGATGCCTGCTGCGACGCACAGGTGCATGATCCAAAAGGATGGGCTTTGATCCAAAGCTACTGTTTGGACTTGCATGCAAGCGTAATCAATGAATCGATTCCTGGCACTCACACAGTTTAATCAGCTAAGATTTCTTCAGTTTGGTTGCGGCCCCATTAGATTTGCATAATTTAGGCAGGTCGCAGAGTTCAGCTTTTCCAGGGGCAGATTTTTCATGAAATGCTGAGTGCATCTAATCAATGAGTACATTTAGTACTGCCCAAGATGATGGGAGGGAACCAATTGCTGGGCTAGGGCTTGATCCCAGGTCCCTCAGATGCAAGTCCAGATCTCTGTCTGTGATAGTTATCATTTAAAGTAATTAAAATCCTGCTGGATTGGTTTAACACTCACCCAGATAGCTCTCTGAAGGCAACAAACTTTGCAAGTACTTAACTTTTTTGAGGAGTACAGTGGTACCTTGGGTTAAGAACTTAATTCATTCAGGAGGTCCG